GTCACCAAACAGTGACGACAACGTGTCACCAAACAGTGACGACAACGTGTCACCAAACAGTGACGACAACGTGTCACCAAACAGTGCCGACAACGTGTCACCAAACAGTGACGACAACGTGTCACCAAACAGTGATGACAACATGTCACCAAACTGTGACGACAACATGTCACCAAACAGTGATGACAACATGTCTCAGCAGTCTACAAAACAGGAGACAGACACACAAACAGTCTGGAAGCTGCTTTAAAACTGAATAAGGACAGAGAAGGAAGATAAAGGAATGAATAAAAAACAAATAAAAATGGAGGGATGTGAAGACGGAGAAACAATGAAAGGAGAGAACAAACGATCAAAGAGGTGGAGGTAAAGAAGCTGATGGCAAATCATGAATTTAGCTCATTCTCTTGCTTGCTTTCTAGCCCCACCCCTCAGAGGGCTGAGCTGTTCATCAGACAGACCTCCGGACCACCTGAGGGGAAAGACTCTGTTAGTGTGTCTGTGTGTGTGTGTTTAGCTTCTGTTGGTTACTACAGTCCCAGACATGACTGACTGACCCACTTCCAGTGGTCTGACTGTCTTTGTGTGTTAAAGATGCTCATTCAAGTCTAACTGTTCCAATTTCTGCATCAAAAACAAAGAAAATAGAAACAAATAAAGAGAGAGAACAGCTAGTTTGATGGAACATGCTGTTTGATGAAATCTTGAAATCGGCAAAGGAGAGCAAGAGTGGTTAAAAGTATAAATAAATTTTAAAAATACTGCTTTTAAATTATTTGAGATTTTAAATAGATGGAGTTTCAGACGTGATGAGGCAATTTTTCAAACTAAAATATCCATCATTCATTCTATTCCAATCATCTGTGGTCAGACTGAAAAAATACCAGGTTACAGAGTCAAACCCAGACCTCATCTCCAGTGACACTGCTAAGCTCTGCTAGGAAAATCTCAAGGTGCCAGAAGTTGGAACTTGGATCTGGGAATGACTCCAGACCCGATTTTACTGAGTTCYGCTACAATTGTTCATGTGTGAGGCAGCCATATTGGATTTTAAAGTCAAYGTTGGTSATCAATCTCCATTTTCAGAGTCAGAAATTTAACTCTGGGTCACATTTTACTTTATGTTTCCAACTCGGAGTTCATATATTGTAACTTAGTGGTACATGTGGAATGCAGCATAGGCTTTATAATGGACCAAGCTCTGGCAACGGTTGTGCAGGGACCTAACAGCCTGTATCAATGGGTCTGGTACCCCATACTCCCAGAGTACCCCCCACAGAAGTCCCTGAGGGGCACGGTCGAATGATTTCTCCAAGATCACAAAACACATGTAGACTGGTTGGGTGAACTCCAATGCACCCTCCAGGACCCTGCTGAGGGTGTAGAACTGGTCCACTGTTCCACGACCAGGACCAAAACCACACTGCTCTTCCTGAATCTGAGATTTGACTGACGGACCCTCCTCTCCAGGACCCCTGAATAGACCTTACCAGGGAAGCTTAGAAGTGTGATCTTCTCGGTGATTCCCCTACCATTATACAGGCCCCCCACCCCGCCCCGCCAACAAGACGGCCCGCCCCTCTAAGAATTTCACAGCATGTAGTCATTTTTATTTAAATAAGGCCAGATCAAGTCCAGAGCTATTTTTTTTGCGTCCCTCCATATCCACCTCTCACCAAACTTGGGGAAAAAGACGGCGCAGAGAGCTGTGTGTGGTCCTCACAAAGATAGGAAGACGTGTGTGATTAGACGCGCAGCTCAGCTTTTAATCACGTAGCACCGATGTGACAGCTTTGTCAGCAACTTTTTCTTTCTTTAAAAGAAAATGTGACAGGTGAAGCCACAGCATGGTTACCTTATCAATAATTACTGCCTTTTTTTCTGTCTCTGTGGGTGGGGGGTCAGCTTCACTCAGCTGCAGGTGAACATGTCCACCTGCAGCTGAACATGTCCACCTGCAGCTGAACATGTCCACCTGCAGCAGCTGAACATGTCCACCTGCAGCTGAACCTGTCCACCTGCAGCTGAACCTGTCCACCTGCAGCTGAACCTGTCCACCTGCTGCAGCTGAACCTGTC